TTAAAGTACTAAAAATTAGTATAAAAATAATTAATAAAGGGTAATACTTTTTTTTTACCATGCCTTTTATATTTTTAAAGGTGCTAGTATTACTACCGCGGGAGTTATTAAAGGGCATGTAAATTTTATTAATAATACCTCCAGGCTTACCTTTAGCCGCGGGAAATATATTATTAAAATTTTTAATTATAAGCATAGGTATTTATTTAGTATTTTTATTTTTTTTTTACTTAAAGACTTAAATGCGTGAAATATTTTTATTTAATAATAAAAGTTAGTAAGCAGGCAGTAGGCTTGTATATATTAAAAATTTTAAATAATTTTTTAAAGGGCTAGGTTTATAAATACTTGGTAAAAAATAAAACTTTATAATTATAAAAAAAAACTTATAAAATATTTTTATTTTATTATTAAGCACCTAGTGTAACTGCCTAAGTAGACCCTTGGAAGCTTTATTTTAAATTTACTAGCTATATTTATATTAAATTTATTAATTTTACTATTTAATTTATTATATTTATTAGGTAATTAGTATTTCTTAGGATTACTAGGTTTATTATTCCTTTAAAAATTACTAGGGTGCTTTATACGTGGCCTACCTGCCTTACTTACTAGGTTTAATTTATACTTACTATTTAATTCTTTTTAATTTTTAGGCCTTAATAGTTTTTTGCCCCTTTTTTTAATAATTTTAGGTGCTTAAGTTACTAAGGCATAACTACTAGTATTAAAAACTCTTAATTTAGGGGTTTAGCGGGCGCCCTTTTTATTTTTATAATATTAAAAAAACATGCCCTATATTAGTTACTAATATATAAAGGGGTAGTACTAAAGCATAAAAGTTAAAAAAACTAAATAATAGTAAAAACCTAGGACTAGATGGTATGTAATATAAAAAGAAATAATAGTAAAAAAAAAAATATATATATTAGGGTAAATAATAAACTAGGTACAGGAGGCCGGTAGCAAGGCTATAAGTACTATAGGAATCAATGTTGGGGTGCAACCCCACTACAATATATACATGTAATTTAAATTACCTTAAAATACCCTTTTTAATAATAAAACTTATTTTCACGGGTACTTATACCCGTGGGTTTATTATTATTAAAATAAGTTAAAAAGTTAGGTAGTTCTATATATATAATAATTAATTTTATTTACACGTAAATATAATATTTTTTTATTTTTTTTATATAAAATAAATATAGCTAGTAAACCGGCCTTTTAATAGCATAGAATAATAATAAAAATTTATATTTATAAACTAAATTTATACCTAAAAAAGTATATATTAAAAATTTTATTATATATTTATTTTAATTTATTATTACTTTTTTAAAAAGCATATTTAGCTGTATATTTATATATTTTTATTAAAAATAAATAAAAAATATAAAAATATAGCTTGCACTTAGCTAATATATTATTAAAAATTTAATTTATAATAAATTTTTAATTTAAAGTAATATATAATATATTTTTAATAAGTAATTAGTTCTTATTAATATTTTTTTATATTAATTATGCATATAAATTTTAAAAAATACTATAATATTATAATTACTTATTATATTATTATAATACTATTATAAATCATGTGGTTATAATAAAACTACGCTAACTCCACCATATTCCCAAACCAGCCAACAGCGGGAAGGTTGTGATTCTGTGACTCAATGCATGCGAGTTATACATCCCGAGCGGTTTCCCGGCTCTAAAAGCCATAGTGGAAATAGGAGCCCGTATGCTCCTAGAATCCCCCATTGGACTAGGGCATACATGGCACTGTAGGTTGGTACTCTTTGACGGCAGGCGGCGCTACACCTTCGCGTTCTACGCTTGTCTCAACTGAGCAACGGCTCTTGTTATCCAAACTGCATTAGATAGCATACCGTGGTGGTACAGCCATGCCATATGCCTTCTGAATAGTCTGGGAGGGCAGTAGTAGATCTGTCGGGGGTTCAAGCAGGTTTGCAAGCTGAATCAGTGGCAACAAGTTGGTCACCACATTGAATACGGCGGCAGACCCGGACGGCCTCCGTCAGCTTTGCTCCAAAATCTGTGCAAAGAATGGCTCCTGCGTACCTAGTTACAGGCAGTGTATGAGCGCGGTGGAACTCAGAGCAGAATCTCTGTAGCACACTCACGTCTGCCCTATTTACCGGAGACAATTATTTCATGAAACTAAACATAAGCAATAAACCTGCATTGAATTAGATGATCCCAGAAGCATCATCGGAGGCATGCGATCCCTGCTCCTGGAGTTAACGTCAGCAAGATTCGTCCTGACCCGGGTCTACGCATCACGGACAAATTGGACGCTACGTACTGGCTCAAATGGAGCTCTGCTTCTTCAAGAACAACGACGTTCTTAACGAACCAATTTGGGACTGGGGTCTGCCGAGCAGAGTGAAGGATATCTTGAAGGAGCAAGGCTTTGCCTAGTGCTCTGCGTGTTTTCCTTTAGGACTGTGCCCTCTAAATCTCGCACTTTGTGTTTTTCCCATGCTTTGTTTCACATCTTTTTGTTTCTTCTCTTCCCTATGCGCGCCTGGGGTCATGAAGACTCTTATCGCAGAAAAAACCAAAAAGATCAGAGTATCCTATACACCACCATCCGGATGCTTCTGCATCTCCAATATGAACGAGACTCAGCCTTTCCTTGCATGGGTCCATGCCGTGCCTTTAATTAATGATTTATAATTTTAAATAAAATAAACTAGGGTTTACCGTGCAACTCTCCGGTTCCATGGGCAACGATGGCATGAGTACACCTTTCTTCCTGTTGATCTCAGGTACTGTCAACGAAGCCCAGGTGCTTCGCGGGTGACTTGCACAGACCTCACTTCCGTGACATATTCCATGCAAAAGCAGTATTGATGCCTTGGGATCTACAAACCAAAGGCCTTTCTCGGCGAATCCAACGAGACGGATAGCCCGACGTTCATGGAGACCTATCTGCATTATGCCGATGGAGTTCGAACTAAAATCATGCCTAATGCATGGCCATGCCCTCTGCAATCTGCGCCGCGCGATCCAGCTCTAAATTTCCGAGTGGTCGGCTCTTGGTGAAAGGGACATGGTATTGCAAGACTAGCCGCACCACTGATTTGACCGCGGTATTTGCGATGGGGTGCACACGTAAATTTGTCCAAGGAGGAGAGGCAAAGGCACCTGCACTTGAAGGAGAGAAGCCGCCCACAACTGATTATCGACGCGGTAACGGAGGAGTGGGATATCATAGGATTTCGTCCAGGGCTGGGGGACGCTGCTTCTGGCCTAAATGTCCAAAAACATGTGAAAACAAGATATTGTTTCACATGGGGGCGCATAACTTGTGGGACAAGGCTAGAGTGCCTTGGAGACTAATACCCATAAACAATGACGCCAGACTGGATGTAGATATTATGGGCTACAAGGCGGGGTCTACGAGAGAGGAAAGCAAAGCGGCCATTGCCTGCCTGCCCAGTATAGCCCTAAAGCCTCTTAAATCTGGAGACGTTCTTGAGTTCCAAGGTTTACTGCACATAAACCAAACCATATCTCCTCCGGTCATTTTATGAAGTGCGTCTGGGTCAAGGTCGGAAACAGGGCACTTTCTTGGATGCCGGGGACTTAGGGTTAGGGGTCTTTAACGCCGGGCGATGGCTCCGCGGTCTTGGGTATGCCTCTGTCTTTAGGGTAACTCCCGTCATGTACCCCAGGTAGGCACGAACCGGAGCAGTGATGCGCTCTTTGCTCCTTGATAGCGGATGTGAAAAGGTGGATCGAGGAGAAGATGCCAGTGCCGTTCCTATTCTGTCTATAAAAGTCTCCGAGTACCATAGGCTTGACTGTGCGGACTTAGGATTTGTTTATGGAGATTAAGGTAGATCTCACCGTGTTCAAGGACTTGGAGGGCAAAAAGCTTGAATACGTGATTGCAAATCATCCATATATTATCAACTGCTACTTTCATGTACGATGCACAAGCCCTTTTCTGTTATCGTGCAGGACAGCTTTAATCTTATTGACCTTTGCTACTGATACGCGTCCCTGCGTTGCGGAATCATCCTCTTGCAGTCTCTACATAGTGTTGGTGTCGGGCTGTGCTGTTGATGGGCTGAATACAGCTAACGTACCTTGCAAAGCCTTCACAAGGTACTGGGACTAAACCCAAAGATATCCGTCCGCCAGAGCCTGATTCGTGCCATGGACCTCTTTCCCAATAATACCCTAGAGTCTATGGTGCTCCGCCCCAAACATACCACGGGTATCTACTGGTACGCCGGACAGAAAAGGGAATAAAGTAGAAAGCACCTGCAGGACTTTATTACATATTTTTTGGTTCACGGAAAACTACTGCGACCAGCCCAAGAGAAATTTGGAACATATTCTTATTAACCATATGACCTGCAAACAAGAGGGTAGCTGGCCAAGGGTTTTACAGGTGTTGAGAAGTTCGCGGACGCTCTTACAAATAAATCCTTTAAACCAAGTAAGCTGCAATCATGCCCGTACCCGGTAAAAGGCTAACCAAGTCCAGTGTTCAACCGCGGGGGTGCATATCCGATGAATCCGCAAACGCTATGCCCGGCTGGAAGGGACCCGGGCGTAAAGCCGCATTGAGTCATTCACCTTGCAAGCTTATACCTACCGCTATGCAGGGCTAGCTTACAAGTTATAGCTGCAAAAGGGCACTTCCCCCTTTCAGGATCTGGCAGTATGCCCCCATTGTCCCCAAGCAGACAAGGGCATCCATGGTACCTAGTGTACTCCCTAACGGGAGGCTCAATGAAGCGTAGGGAGCTCTCCAGACCGGATCCATGTCCTCTCAATCTGAGGCTGATGCAGCTCTGATTGTGCTAAACGCAGCGCAGTGCATGGGAAACATGCAACAAGAGGCCTCAGCTGCTTAACACCATCAGCTTTGATAGCCTGGTTGGTACCTTCCTGATGGTGGATTATTACACCTTCATCCCATTTCCGCTCAAATACATGAACAAAGCCATTGCAGTATGGCAGTATGGCACCCAGCAAACTTGCTAAGTAACGACGACATTCTCTTCACGACCAAGTCCTTGGCGATATGTGTCGATGATGTGGCCGACGAGTTCCTGCGCTGGAAGCTGACAAGGCGACGGTTCACGCCTGGATTCGGGCAGCCGGGTGACGATGACCATGCAGGCGCCTTTCTGGCTATCACGGATGGCCACCTCCAGCACAAGTTGGGCGACGACTGGATCCTTAAGGGCACCGCTCAGTGCCGATAGTATGGCATCATCAAGTAGCAGGACATGCCTGGATGTACCATACCTTCAATGTATTGGCGGAGCTGCATCGCAGAGAAAGAAAAAGAACCGAGAGGATACTGAGCCGTGGTAGTGCTTTGTTCAGGGTCAGGCCCGTCACCGTGCAGTTCACCAGACGACTCAAAGCCAAACGACGGAGCTTCAAGACTAGCATACATAGGTATATATCAACCACTCCAGATGTCCCTCAGCCACGATACCCGGATTGTCGAGCGGGTTCTAGTTTATCAACAGCGACATCAGTTCAACTTGCGCAGTCGTGTGAAAAGTTGCGGATCATCTTCGCCCGTATCGCCGCCGCCCAGGAAACCGGAACCTCCCATCCAGCGAGGCTATAAAGATTATGAACAAGTCCGCCGGCTGTGCCCTACAGAACCACTCAAGTGCCCCTGGGCTCTGAGACCAGGTTACAGGAGTGCTGGCTGGAATGCTGATATGCATTTTGTCATGCCTGCTCTGCTCGACATGGCTAACAACCCAGAAGCTGATAGATATATCAAGATATCAGAAATCAAGGCAGGCCCTGCGAGAAAGGCCAGGGTGGACAAGCTGTTAGGAACGGGAAAGCTCCAGAGAATTTCGAAAGCGAAGGCCGGGAGAGGGAACACGGAACACAGCTCACTGGTGGCGATCAGGTAACACTAACGAGTGGACGCTGGTCGGTGTTGGGTACCCTATCGGTTGGGAACATCAATCCCCGCCTATAGCTTACTGTAGTGAACTGCAAGGCAGAGAATCAGGGCCATTGTTTGTGTTTGTTCTGGGAGAACTGATTGACCATGTATCATTGTTATGTACCTAAGCACAGAATCAACGCGCCAGCTGGCTCATTCCCTACCTCATGTCAATAACCCAAATAAAACGCTTCGTTCCCAAGACCGACTGCACTCCTGCCTAAGGTACCTACCCAGTGTAATCTCCTCCCTGTAGTCCTCACGCCCCAACATACGAAATATCCGGCCTCGGCGGCACGTCCATCCCAGCGCCCAAAAAGTAATCCACATGCGAACTCTGCACATACCCCTTGAGCGTAACAGCATTGCGATACGCCGGGTTATGCATGAGCGTGTAGAGCCTCAGGTCACTGGGCTGATCCGTCGTAAAAATAATCAGTTCGGAGTAATTCCCCCCCGCAAACACGACCTCCTCGCTCCAATCGCCTAGTATGTCGCCCTGGAACATGGGGTCGTCGTCTGCAGTCGTCGCGCCGAAGCGGTATGTCGTCACGAGGCGCTGCAGGCTTCCGCCCTCGTAGTCCCATTTATTGATGTTGCCGTCGTTGATCAGTTCGAGGAGCTCGTCGCCGTCCCACCAGACGCCCAGCTGCGGCCAGGGGTAGGTTTCTGCGTCGCCCAGCAGTTCGTTGGAGGCGGCGTTGTACACGCCTAGGAAGCTCCAGGCTTCCATGCCCGAGTGGTTGGGGTCGATGTCGCCGACCATGCCTCGTCCGTTATCGCCAACCTCGTCCGCGTAGTGTTCCCATAGGATGGTGCCGTCTGTCGCGTCGTAGTAGTATTCCCACAGCTTGGACGGGTTATCTTGTTGCACGCCGTAGCCCTGGAGGCCTGGGCGGCTGGGGTCCATCTTCGCAATGTGCCACCGGTCGCCGTGGACGATGCCGGCGGGCCCGAGGGAGTAGCGGAGGGTTCCGTCGCCGTTGAGGAGGAAGCCGATCTCGCCGACCTCGTCGATGCCGTCGCCGTCGACGTCGATGATGCGGGTGTTGTGGCCGTCTGGTGCGTTCTGGTTGTCGCGCTTCCAGACCCATGCTTGCTGAACAGAGTTGCCGTCGAACGTCCACGCCGCCTCGATGAGGTTGAAGGCGCCGCTGTCTTGACGGTTCTTCAGGAAGGCCACGATGTATGGCCGTTGTCCGTCGAGATAACCCACACCCAGACGCGCAGCCAGTGGTCCATCCGCGATATAATCATCCGGTATCTGCGCAGTACCTAGAAGCGACCCCGTCGAGCCCTGCAAGACAGCGATAAACTGATGCTCATCATCCTCGTACTCAAACGTCTCCCCATCCCCAAACACCACACCGTTCGCAATCCGAATCGCAACCTCCGCATATCCATCCCCGTCAAAGTCAAACACCGTCACACCATCCCAATGCCCAACATCAATCGCCGAAGACCCAGGCTCAATATTATTCTGGTTCAGGCTATTCGGCCCGAGATTCATCTCCCAAAGCAGCGTGCCATCACGCCGGTATGCCTCGATCCGCTGCGGCGACTCCAGCCGGTCCACGACGAAATCGTACTCGCCGTCCCCGTCCAGATCCCCAACCCAGATATACCGAATCGCGCCGCCGGCCTCGATCGGGATGCGGAAGAGCGGTCCTACCTCGGCGTCTGCAGCGAGCGTCCAGGTCCCGCTTGGTTCGCTCTCTTCGCCGTCTACGACAGTCGTCACGTAGTACGTGTTCTCTTGCGAGAGGTCGGCCGTGGAGTCGACGTAGTTGGAGCCGCCGGTTAGGATGTCGGTGTTGAGGAGCTCGGGCTCGCCGGCGCCGGTGGTGCGGTAGAGGTTGAAGGCGATGTCGTCGGGGTCGAGGCCGAGGATGCGCCAGCTGATGAAGGCCTCGTCTTCGGAAGACCGGATGGCGACGACGCCGCGGCCTAGGTTCTCCATCGGCCGTTGGGCTTGGATTGGAGTCGTGAAGGCTGAGAACGTGGCCATTGCCAACGCAAAGAGATGGAAACAGAACCACATCATGCCTTAGACTGGTACAAGAGACTCGGTAAGAGATTCCTATCGTCAAGGTCGTGAGTCCTGAGTGATCAACTTGACAAACTTCCCTTCGGGGTAGGCCATTTATACCACAGACTCCCTTGTGGCTGGATGGAAAAGCAGAGAATCCCGAGATCCCTCATCCGAGCTCCGGATGGGAACAAAAAGATCGTCGGTGTGGACATCATTGTTCAGAGACTCTGATGGGTAAAGATGGAGCGAGAGGGGAGGAGAAGGGGAGTGTTGATGGCCTCTGGCAAGGCAGGCCTGTGCGCCAAGTCAGCGGGGTGTGCTCCGCCGGGGGATAAACACGGACAGTGATGGAAATTCTCTCACGGTAAATCCTCTGACTGGGGAGCCAGGGATCGGGCAATCTCTGCTTTTGAATTTATCCATGGACGGGGGAATTCTGACGACTTCCTAGGTACTGAGGTACATTCTCCCGAGCGCCGCGCTTCTTCATCCGCTTCCGAGTCTCATCTAGATACCTATACGTTTGGTCAGAACAAGCAGCTTTCGAATTCTTCATGTGGGGTCCCGGACTCTGACTGTTGATGGAATTGTGGATGGGCTTTGAAGAGAAATATGTAGCGTAGTTGCTGTGGGTTTTTTCTGACCAGCAAGCTATATGATCGATGGGATGGGCCGGCAATGGGACAGCAGCATTTGCAGATGTACGTAGAGTATATGAAGATAGTAAGCATGCTTTATCCAGTGAATATACTTCTACTACGTTTTACACCCCTTAGGGATCTCGCGTAATTATGGTACGTAGCATCCCGAGCCTTTCAGGAAAAATCGCATCAGGGTACGTTGCACCAGCATCGTATGGATAGGTCATGATATTACTGAAGCGAACTCGCACTAGCAACTGGCATACACGTAGACGCTGCAACCTCGACCCTATTCCTACACCCTGCCAGTCGCTCAAGTCGCAGTCCCGTTTTTTGGCAACCCCCACAGACTCGCCTCTTCGGTCTCAACATCATCTCCACTCCAATGCGTCAGGTCGACTGCCCAGTTGGCGAAGCCCGCAAAATTCATGCGCCGGTAGCGCTCCACCCGTCTTCGCATCGTACTCTTGCTCATGAACCCGACCCATTGCGTCTCGTTGTAGACAAGAACGTTCGAGTCCGAGGCGGCGTCGTAATACGACTCGTTGATGTCTCCTTCGATCATCAGCGCTTCGATCTCTGCAATGGCGAGAAGACCGGGAGTCCTGGTGCACATTCCTGGGATGGCTGCAGTCCGCGGTCCAGTAAACCGGCACTCTGGCTTAGTGCAGTCAGGGTCAACCATGCCAAAGGCACGCCCGTAACTGGCAACGCCGATAGTAATGGCATTTCGCGGGACACCGGCTTTCGTGACTAGAGACAATGAGCAAGGGCCTTGAACACCTGGATCGGCTACTTACTCATCGAAAGGGCCCATTCCGTTTCCGTCAGGTTCACTAAGCGGTTAGACATGCTCGTGTAGTGAGATAAAAACCTACCATGGCTTCTCAGACAGTTTCCTCCTTTGCACCAGTCCTGGATGACAGAGGTCTCGTAGTCCCATTGGCCTGATAAAGTGTTAGTCGGCGCGTCGTGAAGAAGAGAACGTCGTACCATGGAAGTCGTATGTCATGTAAATGAGATAGTCGACGTGCTCCCACATCTCCGCAATAGGAAATGCCTGCAGATGCCAGTACGTTGCGGGCGCAGCGACCGAAATGCTTTTACCGGGAGGGAAAATCTTTCGGAGCTTCTTGACGAAGGCGAGGTAGTTCGGACCGTCCGCGCGCTGGTCTTGGGGGATATCTAGGGAAACGTCTTGGGGGTCGGAGGCCTAGTACGTGTGAGCAAGGTGCATCAGAGCCGGGGACGTCTTACTTACCCCCGGATACTCCCAGTCAAAATCTACACCGTCCAGGTTGTTGTCCGCAATAAACTCCAGCACGCTGACAATGAATCTGTCAACGTTCTCCGGTAGCATGGCCTCGCGCAGCACATCGTAAGCAGCTCCATTGACAGTATATCCCCAGCCGCCAAATGACACAATGCGCTTAACGCCCTGCAGGGCTAAGAAGTCCAGCCATTGGTTATGAGTGTCGTTGATGCTGATGCGAAAGTCCCTGCTGACTGACGCGAATCCCCAGTGAATATGGCTGTAGTCGTTGACGTTGATGTGAGCGGCGAGGAGGTTAAGGCACGGTCGGTCAAGATTGAATGATTCGTAGTATCCGATTCTCATGAACTCACCAGGCGGCGGCGAGTTGTCGACGATGTCCATGCCGCAGTTCGATATGCAACCCTTCTTGCCTTGAGGCGCTGTTCCCGGGTTCCCGGTCGGACCCTCTTCGTAGACGCAGTATTCTGGGGTCGCTCCGCATTCGCCAAGGGTATTGCAACATGCGTTGAGAGGGCAAGGATTCAAATTTGCGAGTGGCGCTCCATCTGTCGGCATTTCTGTTCCTGGAACAGTCGGACCGCAGACTGCGCCAGTTCTGGGGGCCGGCAGTGGTGGAATACCTTGGCTCAGACAAATGTTCATACCCCCGTGGATATTGTCGCAGCCACTCCAGCCCCATGTTCGGCCGTCATTATAGAATTGAATCTGGCTCTCCTCGATCATGAAGTCCTGAGCAATGGAGGCGCAAGTGTCGTCTTCTTGGGTCATGTAAGTAGCGCACGATCCATCTTTGTTCATGATCGGATCAGGCTTGGTGGACTTCTTGCTAGAACAACATACTTCTTCGCCCGGTCGCAGCCACGAACATAGCCCCTTCTGTGGGTTGTACTTCATGAACTCCGCCCCGGTGATGTTGCATCTGTCCGCAAGTCTGGTGCAGGTATCTCCTGGTTTTACCGTGATGGTATTGCAGTTGAGTTGCGTCGAGAAGCCGGCAATCGTGGCATTGGCTGAATTAACAGACTTTGCGGAGAGTGATTCACGCGTTGGCTCTTTGACGGCAGCAGAATCCACGAGGTCGAATGCCTCTTCGCTTTCCAGACACTCGCCCTTTGTCCATGAGCCAATGGCTTGCTCGACAAACACAGTATCCCCTGTTGGGTCAAAGGCGATGCCAAACGTATGGTCGGCATCTCGGTCGCCGCCGCAGAGTTGGATTCCCGCTCGAGGGAGTGGTCTGGCATGCCATTCATGCCTGATCCTATCAATGGCGGAGAGGGCCAGAGTGTCGTTTACTGCGTCACCCCGGTAGATACCGACCCATACCGAGTTGAGACGGCCAAGCACGCTGAAGGTATCGCGGTTCGCTGTCTGGTTCACGACGGTCTGCAAGAGGTTGAGGAAGAAGTCGAATGGTCGGAGCCGCGACGCATCATCCTCAGTTTGCCCACCTTCTCCTTGACCCGGCACAGTGTAAAAGGACGCGAAAGGGGTGTCTGGGCTATCGTCAACGGTGCAGGCTAGGATTTTAAACGACACATTGGCGGCATCTTTAACAGTGTTGGCTAGTTCATGGGACGAGAAGTCGAGCAACACCGGGTGGTTGCAGTCCTTAAGGTTGGACAGGGACGAGTACGGCGTCCACTTGCTTGGGTCGTCGGTGCAGGGAGCAGGACAGAGCGGACTGGCGAGCAGCGCTGCTGGAAGTGCGAAGAGAACGGCCGTTACAGGCCAAGAGGGCCACATCCTGTGGAGCTCTTTGACGTAACAATAGAGGAATAACGAACGGTTGACGACGGAAAAATGATGTGGAAGTATACGGCGTGCGAATGCACTTGGTTAGGAGAGAAGAGGAAGGCCAGAGTGAGAAGAGACTCGGATGCGAAAGTTGTGTTGTGGAAGGAAAGAACAACCACAGCGTGACTCCCCAGATTGAAATTAGATACACCTCGACGAATGTCGGTGATGCGCAGGAGCCGATCATCTCCTGCTAGTGATTATTTTTTTGAGATTACAGAACTTTGGAGCACATTGAAACGACGAAGAAAAAAATTAAACAAAACGCGACAAGATACGTAGTATGATTTACGCTCAGCTCAGCCCAGTCCGGCTGCCTTGCTCCTCGGTTACTACACGATCCGCCTTAGTTATCGGGGTCTCTTATGGCACGGTGGCAGACTTACCTCATGGCAAACAAGGCCTATCAGCCGAAGCGACGAAAAAAGAACCTGCACACGATAGAGACGCGAGCTTTGGAGCGATCTTCTTCGACGACGCCGTTCTCGCCGTTTTCGAACGTCTGATCAGGGATCTGGGTAGAACCACTGCTCTCTGCGGTGGAAGTCCTCAGCGCTCTCTTCGCTGTGACCGCCAAAGTCTGTATCTCCTTGTTCAGCAAAGGCAGCTGCGGGGTGGGCTCCCGCATACCGGAAGTAGTGTGCTCGCTTCTCGGTCTGGAAAACTGGGCAAGGAGGCGCTGATGAGCGTCCTCAACATCAGCGAAGGGGACTGAAAGGGGAGAGGTGTTCTGATTCATCGTAGCCTAAGGAGGGTTCGTTAGCTGGTGCTGTCTCCGCAAGATCTCTACTGACCGGGCTCGGGGATGGGATACCGCGATAGTTGTGCTGGGCAAGGCGCAGTGTTAGTCACTTTTGAGCGTTCTATGGTTCAAGGTCTGAACTTACGGCAGGCTCACGGAAGGTCATGCTGGGTGTCATCGGCTCCGGCTGGGCCTCCATGCTCTGATTGGCATCATGCAACAGTGCTTGCTGGAGGATGCGATCGGGAGAATCATCCTCGCTGGGCGATTCAAAAAACGGTGCAGGACGGGCCGCCATAGGGGTAGGTGGTGCAGGGCGTGGAAGACGTTCGCTTGCGGCAGGACGTTCAATGGCTCCAGAGCGTGCAGCTGCGCCGGGGCGTGCGATTCCGGCAGAACGTTCGACGGTGGCAGGGCGTTTACGAGCGGGCTTCTGTTCGGTACGGGCCTTCTTCTCGTCCACCGGGGCCTTTTCCTCAGAAGAATCAAGTTCTCGACGAGCTTCGCGCGCAGCCAGTGCCTACCAAGCAAGGTCCACGTCAGTTCGGATCCAAATGAAGAGACGCGCAAGCACCGTGATACATACCTGAGCCTCCCTCGCACGACGGCGCTGATGCTATTCGCAGCGATGTGTTAATCTTCAGACCAGGCATCACCTATAGCGGTAAAAAAGAGAGTAGATAGGCAACATACCGAGACCCTCGACACCTCGCGACAAGTATGACACAGCTTCGTCGGCTTGCCGCACTTGTCGAAGAACTGATCCTTAGTCCAAGAGCGCTTGCACTTGGGGCACGTCTGCGTCGGAGGGGGCGCCTTCGACGCGTCTGGGATGCTAGCCATGCTGCGAGGAGCGGCAGTGTTAGTCGTTCCCTTGACCTTGGGCATGGTGACGGACTCTGGTGTTGCTTCGCGGGATGGACTAGACCTAGGCAGTGCAATTGTCGCCTGACTGGACGTGTCAGACGAGCTTGTTGTGATGGACGGTGTTGACGCTCTCGAGCTGGAGGGCGAGGGAGAGGGCGTCGGTTCTGGCGAGGAAGAGCGAGACTGTGACAGCGATGAAGATTCAGACGAGGATGCGTCAGAGTCCGTATCAGTCTGCTCCTCGAGCGCGAGGACGAGGGGGAGGTATCTCAGATAGGAAAACAGGTAGGAGTTGGGAGGGGGTCTGAAGTTGTAGATGAAAGAGACAAGCTGCTCTGTTTTTGTGAATTGGGTTTGTGTGTGGTGATCTTGCTTAGTCGGCGTGTGCTTCTGCTTAGTCGGCGATGACATCGTGGGTGTATGCTATCCAAGCAACCAAGTAAAACAGGTCTAAAACAAGACTTAGCAAAGACAGAAACGAAAGGTTGTTGGAGACAGAAGAAAGAATCGCGGTAGCCAAATGGCCAGTAGAAATACAAGTGGATCTTACATTTGTGTTCCTGTCCTCCATCTACAAAGGGCCTCCATATCCAGCACACCAAAAGAACCCTCACCTTACCACCTAAAGATGGAACAAGCTCTTCTCATTAACCTCACAGAACCTCCAAAGCCCCGCCTCCACCGCAGCATCCCTCACACTCCCAAGCTCCTCATCCCTAACAGCCCGATTGATCTCCGCATACCTTACCTCCTCCACCCCCTCCCCCTCCCTCCTCCCCTTCGTACCCCTCCTCCTCTTCCCAACATGCGCATCAGGCCGATACTGCTCCATAACATGAACATACAGATCCCGCGAAACATTCCCCGCAAGCCAGCGCACAATCTCGCGTCCCTCGTCCTCCTTCCCGGGCATAACAAGATGCCTAAGCAAAACGCCCCTCTTCGCAATCCCATCAGACGTAAAACTCAGATCCCCAACCTGCGCATGCATAACCTGAATACTCTCCTTCGCAGTCTGCACGTAATCATCGGCCTTGAGTAACCGTTTCGAAGTCGCGGCTTTCCAGACCTTGAAATCGGGTAAATAGATATCGACCAGCCCGTCCAGAAGTTCCAGGGAGTCGAGACTATCGAACGCAGACGTGTTATACACGATAGGAATCCGCAGTCCCATCTCCCTCGCGTCCAGAATGGAAAGCACAACCTGCGGCACCACATGCTCCGGCGTAACGAGGTTGATATTATGCACGCGCCCCTCATCCTGGAGTTTGAGGTACCACCCCGCCAACTCCGCCGGCGTCAAATCAAACCCGTTCCTTTGGTGCGCGATATCATGGTTCTGGCAGAAGACGCAGCGCAGGTTGCATCCGCTGAAGAAGACGCTCCCGCTGCCGTGGAAGCCTGTGATACAGGGCTCTTCGCCGCGGTGGGGCGCGATCACGTTGACTTTTGCGGTTTCGGCGCCGATCAGGCAGTGGCCTGTTGTTTCGAAACGGTTCACGGAGCATTTGCGTGGGCAGAGGTTGCAGTTTGATAGATGGGCGTAGGCTTTGCTGCGCTTTTTGGCGGCGTCGGTGGAGGAGAGGAGGGTGTAGCGCGGGGTGTAGTCGTCGAGGAGGTATTGGGGTGGGATTC